ACCGAAAACCATCCAGCTGGGCCTCTATACCTTAGCTGATTAAACCTGGGCCAGGAATCCTGTTTGTAGAAACTCACACATGGACTGGGACTTGTAGAGGGTTGAACTTAGAGGTCTATACTGACTTCAGGGGGGCTCCCAGTGCGGGTTCAGGAGCTGCCAAAGAGCTCAGAGTCATACAGATGACCCCGCCACTGGCTCCGCTGCTCTCAGTTATGAGCTGGGAACCCTGGCTTCGGCTTCCAGTCCTCCTGTGCTGGCTAGTCTTATGTCAACTTGACGTAAGCTAGAGTTATCTGAAAGGAGGAGACCTCAGTTGAGAAAATGCCTCCCTAGGATCCAGCACGAAGGCATTTTCTTAATTAGTGATTGACAGGGAGGACCCGGGGCATTGGAGGTGGTGCTATCCCTGGGTTGGTGGCGCTGGGTTCTATAAGGTATATATTACAGCCATTGTAATATATCCTTTCTATGTGCATATGTGTGTGTGTGTGTGTGTGTGTGTGTGTAGTTAGTTCTGTTCTTCTAGCAGCGAACTCTGGTGAATACAGCCAGTAAACCAACATCATGAGTTTACAGTGGTCAGAACTTTTTTTTTTTTTTCGAGACAGGGTTTCTCTGTAGCTTTGGGCCCTGTCTTGGAACTAGCTCTTGTAGAACAGGTTGGTCTCACACTCGTAGAGATCTGCCTGCCTCTGCCTCCCAAGTGCTGGGATTAAAGACGTGCGCCATCACTGCCCGGCTCAGTGATCAGAATTTTAAAAGGATGAAATATGTGCTGTCACAGAACAAGTCACTTTGCTCTGTAGTGACCCGCTGACTGTCACTGGCCCTCTACAGGTACTACATGAGGCCGGTTGCCCCAGTCCACGTGGTTTCTGGTGAAGACGACCCATCACAGGACGCTCCCGGTGACTCTTCGGTAGGCCCTGGGTCAGGAGCGGTACACATGGTACACACGCCACCCCTGGGACCTATCCTGAAGAAGACAGCTGGCCTTGGGTTCTGTACCGTCTTCCTCTACTTTGTCACTGCCCTCATCTTCCCTGCCATCTCCACCAACATCCAGTCCATGCACAAGGGCACCGGCTCTCCGTGGACCTCCAAGTTTTTTGTGCCCCTCACCGTCTTCCTCCTTTTCAACTTTGCCGACCTCTGTGGCCGACAGGTCACAGCCTGGATCCAGGTACCAGGTCCTCGGAGCAAGGTGCTCCCCGGACTGGCACTGTTGCGTGCCTGCCTCGTGCCCCTCTTCCTGCTCTGTAACTACCAGCCGCGATCACACCTGACCGTGGTGCTTTTCCAGTCCGACATCTACCCGGTGCTCTTCACCTGCCTGCTGGGGCTCAGCAGTGGTTACCTCAGCACACTGGTTCTCATCTACGGGCCCAAGATCGTGCCCCGGGAGCTGGCTGAGGCCACCGGTGTGGTGATGTCTTTCTATATGTGTGTGGGCTTGATGCTGGGTTCTGCCTGTGCAGCCCTGCTTGAACACTTTATCTAGGAGGGGCAGCAAGAATGTGGGTACTGTGTGAGGCTTGGGCCCTTGGGAGACAGAGGCACAGGGCGAGCCGAGGTCTCAGATGGTGTTAAGCAAAGGGCTGGTGTTTCGTTTGGTGCAGAGCGGAGCCCACTCAGGCTGCCTTTCTCTAAGGGTGCTTTTGAGCCACATCCTTGCACAGGATGGCATTCCAGACATAGACCAGCTAGGTGGCTCGTTCCTGTAATCTCATCATTCAGGAGGCTGAGCTGGAGGATTGTTGCGAGTTCAAGGCCAGTCTGGCTACACAGTGAAATCCTATCTCAAAAAATAAGCTAAAACCAACAAAAAAAACCCCTGAGACATTCCAAACACTTCAAGAGAACACTCCAGAGCCATTTGAAGGATACAATTGTAGCTAGGATACAGTGTTTGTTTCACGTTCACAGAGCCGCACTGCATAAACTGGACGTGTTAGTGAAAGCCTGTAATCCCAGCACTTGAGGGGTGGAAGCAGGAGGGTCAGAAGTTCATGGTCATCCTCAGCTACCTTGGGAGTTCGAGGCCAAACTGGGCTACATGAGACACTGTCTCAAAAAAAAAAAAAAAAAAAATACAGTTGTAAAGAGGGGGTATGTTGTGGCTAATAAGTAGCCTAACTTATTATTAAGAAGTGTCTAACCAGTGCTGTCACAGGTCAGAACCCAGTCTCATTCTTTCCAACTGACAACAGGGTGGGAGGGAGAGAATCTTTAGTGGTCCCTATACTGAAAGAGACTCCTGGATTTGAGGTCCCCTCTGCAATGGCCAGTGCTCAGACTTAGAGCTCAAGTATGTGCTGATCCCCTGGCTCTGTGGTTGAGAGTTGACCAACCATCTGAAAAGCCCCACAAGGCGGGCTTCCTAACCCTCCCTGCTTGAGGCCTGGTTCTCCTGAATTCTCTCTGTGTCAGGGACTGGGTCTGGTAGGCTGGTCCCCAGATGAGGACCATGTGACTCTGTTGCCTATTTAGGGCAGGGGAAGTCTTTTTGACAGTCATGTTTACAGCCTGTTGGGGCTCTTGGTTCAAGGGCATAATAAATACTGGGGTTCTTGATGTGAGCTTTGTTGATGTCTCCATCAGTTGATGTCTTGGCAGAAAAGAGTGTGCTAAGATTGGATGATTTGGAGGGATGTAGGGACAGGTACAAGAACCCCCAAGGGCTTGGGGCGCACTACCTTTCCCTGTTGCTGTAACAAAATACCCAACTAAAGCGCTTAAGGAAGGAAGGGTTTCTGCTGGCTCACAGTCTAAGGGGACACAGTCCCTGTCATCAGGGTGGGAAAGGCACAGCAGTAGATGTGGAAGTGGCTGGCTGATCACCTTGTGTGCACAGTCCAGACCTTGGTCCACGTGTTGAAACTGTGCTGCCCACATCTAGGGCAGGTCTTCTTCTTCTTAGTTGTATTCCTCCGGAAACATCCTAGCAGACACATGCGTTTCCATGGCAATTCTAAGTCTAGCCTCATAGACAATGGAGATTAACCATCATCCTATTGAAGAACCAGTAAGACTGAGACCAATCCATGCTGAGCCAGAGGAGGCTAGCAGCAAGCTCTTCTAGAGTGTAGGCTTGTGACCTTGCTTGGGGCAACAGGTTCAGACAGCTGTGACCTCAGGAGAGAGGCAGGGACTCCTTCCTCCACCAGCCCACTGTCTGTACATCCTAAAGATCGTACAACTACCAGAGAGAGAGAGGAAGCATGTGAGGTGAGGGTGGGCAGGAAGAGGTCCTGCCTAAGGTGTTGCCCAATCGGGCCAGGTGTCACTTTTGCTGTCTTGGGTTTCGAGATGTCAGCGCAGTGTTGACCCCGGCTCAGCAGAAAGTGGGGTTGCTTTGTTCTGGTTCAGTTCCTGGCAGTTGCGGTTGGGGCAGTCTCAGAAGAGGACCTTCAGACTCTGTCACCCCACCCAGGAGACTATGTCCCCTCATATTCGATATGTGTGGAGTGACATGGATGCTGAGTGCTGGTCTGACAGATGACAAGGGCTCCTGAGAGACCATTCCTCTGGCTTGGGGATCAGGACACTTCAGCAGACCAAGTGTCCTTTCTCAAGGTTCCTGCAGACAGAGGAGAGCTCATCCCCAGTCGTGGCTATCCTCTGAGCCAGGAGCCGATGGAGGAGCATGGGCTGGGGTGTCCTGTAGATGCTGACTAGGTGGGAGGCATTGTAATCCCCCCCAGTGGCATCAGCTTATGCTCCCTGCCGTCGTCTGCTTCACACTCCCGCTCCAACTGAAGGATGGGAGAAGACACCCTTGAGGGGGTTTCTAAATTTGAACCTAGTAAAAAACAAAATAAATGTAGTAAGAAGGCCGCTTGTTCGTTTCCCGGCTGCCCAGAAGCCCGAAATAACCACACAGAAACTGTATTAATTAATCACTGCTTGGTCCATTAGCTCTAGCTTCTTATTGGCTACCTCTTATATCTTAATTTAATCCATTTCTATTAATCTGTGTATGGCCACGTGGCTGTGGCTTACAGGGTAAAGTTCCAGCATATGTCTCCTGCGGGGCTACATGGCTTCTCACTAACTCCTCCTCCTGTCTCCCAGCATTCAGTTTAGTTTTCTCCATCTACCTTTCTTCCCTGCACAGGGAAGTTCTTTAACAATGGTATTCACAGCGTACAGAGGGGACCCACATCGAAACAAAGAAGAAAAAACCCTTACCTTTCATCCCCCCCTTCCCTTGTCCACCCCCCTTCCCTGACCCGTGTAATGCTGTGTGCTGTGGATGGTTTGGGATGTGGGTCTAACTGGTGACTCACTCCAACCTTGGGTATGCTAGAAGTGGGCCATATGGTTAAAGCAAAACAGCAGCGTGTGGTGTGTGTGTGTGTCAGGGGTGGACTGCTCTTCCATGCTCTGGTGAAGGGGTAGCTCTCAGGGACAAGGGTAGCACCTGAGTGGATGGGAAGGTGGTGTCAACTGTGGTTTGACAGCATCCAGACAGAGGGATGAATCCATGCCCACCCTGGGTATAGCGGAGAAGTGGCTGCTAGGCTGGCAGGGTTATCTCCTTGGGACTCACCTGAGTGGGTGTATTCCCAAAGAGCCATCCTTCTCAGAGAGGGGAGGGGGAAAGAAAAGTGCAGTTCCAGGCAGGGGTAGACACAGGACTTCAGGCTGTGAGCGGTGCATGGGATAAGCTGCCTTTCTCCCAGTCTTGAGTCTTCTGACCACAGTATCCTTGGATAAGCAGTTTGAACATTCAGGAATGTTGCTGTAGAGGGATTCTTCTATGTAGGTCCCCTGTCTTGAGCTGTAGATGAACTCAGTAAGGCTCAGAGAGATTAAGCAGCTTTCCCAGGGTTAATAAATAGCATAGTTAGAAATCAAACCTAGTTCTTCCTAGATTCAAAAGTCCTTACCCACCCTTCTTTCTCTCTCTCTCTCTCTCTCTCTCTCTCTCTCTCTCTCTCTCTCTCTCTC